TTGATTTACCCTGAAGTTAGAACACAGACGTTTTTATTCACCCAGAATGCCACGATCTAAAAAAAGCATTTTTAGTTTGATTAAAACTAAGTTTCAGTAGTTTTAAATGTATATTATAAGCTGGTTTGATATACTTTTAGGAAATTTAACACGCCATAAATTGCTGTCAGTTCAGGCAAATTGTTTTATTCAAGTTTCTCATCCACAACAAAGTTGAACAAAATTCTACTGGAAGCTAAAAGTTAGAACTTACCATACTGTGACTCAATGTAACCGTGGTTACCTTTAGCTTCATAATAAGTGGAACTGTGCTCGTATAACGTATAATTTAATCATATGATTCAAATGATTAGTCAGCTAATTCCACGACAACTGAGCAAATTCCCCCTCTGCTTAGGAACTTGGTCTGCATCTCAAAGCCACTAAAGGAACATTAAGAGAAGAGTTTTAACAGCACACATCCATAGTGCTGGTAGTCTCTTTTACCTTCTTTCTTTTTGTACTTTTCCTTTTCTGCACTGAATAAAATCACTACTTTTTGGCCTGCAAAAAGATGTTAAGGACCATCATGTGAACTGATACACAGGCATGTGTTCACGTCACCCAACACCGGCATAAACATACCAGCAGACACCAAAACAGCCTTAAAAAAGAAACAGCTTAGCTGCTGAGAAGCTCATACCTCCTTTGGCTCTCTGAACTGCACTGACCCCAACCGAAGCCTACTTCAAAGACTCAGAACAGTAGCGCTCCACTGGGGGGGCAGCAAGGCAGGCAGACTGAGGGGAGAAGAATGACGAGATGGAGGGAATGAAAGAGATATTGTTGGGAAAAACGTCTCGGCTTGTCATCAGATGTGACATGTCCGCTAGAGGCTGCGTGCGTAACGCCTGTTTGAAAGGAAAAGTAGCGATACGGAATTCGCCTGATCGCTCGGCTCCACAACGACGACCAGGTTGGGAAAAACCTGTTTTTGAAAAGCTGACTTCTCACAAGCCTCTTGGGGGCCGAGATAAGGGTCTGAAGAGCAGGCTTCAGGAGTAAGGTACCACTTCACAGGGGGGGGGGGCGAGGCATCACGGGACATCTCCACACGCTCGACGACAAGAAGCAGGAATGACTCTGTCGCGCATGAATGCGTTGGGACTTTCTCATTTTTTACAAAATGTTACAAAATGGGGATCCACACTGGAAATTGAACCCGTAAGACTCCGCGAGAGGCAAAAAAGAGTGAAAATTTGCACGCAGCAAGCCTCAGTAAGCCTATTAGGCAACAAGAATGTGCATTGAGTTTGGCATGATCTTAGAGATTAGAAAACTGAGTCAACAGACATTAATCTGACTTTGTTAGGCCGAGGGTTGTTTTAACTGGCTGTTAGGAGATGACTGCCGAGGGCTCTTGCAGCAAGATGTGAAATCGTATGTCCCTGTATACTGCTCATTTAATGCACATTGCTTGTTTAGAAATGTATGCTGTGAAACATTATGTAAAAGAATGAACAACTTCGTATCACAATAAAGTAAATGCATGCAATATTACCTGTGAAAAATTCAATCGATGATCACATCGTAAAAAAAAGTCTTTACAAGTTCCTTTATTTGACAGTTTTTAATTGCAATGTAGGTTTGGAATTATTCATTCGGACAACAGCGCTTTGTCAAACCAGAAATGTTTTCACAAATGTTGACGAGAAGACCAGAAAGTGCCAGAACTTGGTCCCATTCGATTCAGTGACCCAATCTTGCCCATCACCATAGTAATCCAGCACCCTTCAGCTACAAAACCCTACGTATGCAGTCAAAACCGTTGCTGCAGGAAACAAGTTGACGATAATTGGTCTGTTCCCTACAGTTTCAACAAGCAACAACATGAAGAAAAAGACAACAGTGGTGATTTAATCCAGACACTTCAAACCATGAAACCAAGCTTTGGATGGGCCTGCGAGGCAATCAAAACATAACTCAATAAATTATCATGATTCCCGCCGTCTGTAACTCATTTATTTATATTTATGATACTACTGAAATCCATCCTGTGCGTTTCTTCTTGCACAACATCTCCCTTCGATCTCCCCACCGCTCCGGTAGGCGGTACGTACGGTCCGGCGGTTAGAATGCCGGGTCGGTACTGGCGCTTTACCAATATGTGACGTGTGTGTTAGTAGACGGCTGTCCAATAGCATTTCAAATAAATAAGAATGTGCATTTTCTATTCACTGAGAACCCGTGACATGCAAGTGGTTTTTACGGTAGTAGATCTAAACGTCCATAATTCTCTTTTTTTTGGCCCCTAGGAGCGGAAGATAAATCAACAACAAAACAATATTATTATTATTGTTAGGAAGATCTTTTTAGTAAAATAATTTAGTGAACTGTTTAACTTCCTTTTTTATTTGTGAATTAATTAGTTAATAAAACAATATCTATATACCTTTGAAGTAAGGGCACATTCGGCAATGATAATTATGGTTTTGTCATGTTTTGTGTATCATCTAGAGTGGCGATAATGGTCCAGAGTTATATAAACATATATATAGATCTAAGTAAAAACAATGTATATGCATGCGTGAAAAATGAAGAGCCCTGAGGGTCCGACATGGGTGAGAAGGTGTGAACTAAAGGCAACTAGGTTCTTGTTTAAGAAGAGAGAGAGAAGCACACCAGAATAGATATGTACACGTGGCCTTCCAGCATCCCTGTGTACACACAGACAGACACACACACACACACACACACAGTCGGTCTTGTTCTGGCACACACCAACGCATGCAGGTCAGCGGCACAGAGGGGTTTGAATTAACATTTTAACCTTCGGTAGTCAGTCGGCGTGACTCACGTTTATTAAGATGAAACGATGACGTGCAGTGTTCAATGTTCTGCTCAGTTAGACGGTAAATGGTCGCTCGCGTCATCAGTGCGTGAATGATGACATGAAGTGGTGAAGCCCTTCGAGTGGTCAGAAGACTAGAAAAGCGCGCTGTGCAGGTTCAGTCCATTTGCCATTCACCATTTTGAAACGTCACCTTCAGCATTTAAAAAAACAACAACACACATAAGAGAAACGTATATGTATTTAATTTGGAGCTACTTGTCTTTTGAAAGTTGGTCGAGCCACTCGTATTGCCTCTACTGGCAACACTAGCAGCCACTACAAGCTAACACGCTAACAAGCTAACACGCTAACTCGCTAACACGCTAACTCGCCGGCCAGTTGCGAGCGAGTTGGCGGGGGGCCACCGCCTGCGGTCCTTTTCGGGGTCAATGAATTAATGTGTTGACTTGAGAAAAACAATGCCGTCATATCTTTCTAAATACCGGGATATGAATTTATGGCCATACCGCCCAGCCCTAGATGGAGTATCACGCTACTTAAAACAATCTTAATGTCTCAAGAACTAATTTCACCCGGGGCAACATTTATCCATTTGATTGCCGGTTACACGACGAGAAGCTAGAGCCAGGCAACACCAACGAGCCAAATTGTGTTCCAATGGGCCTGAAAATTCCCATTCGGCAGCAGGTGGGTCCACGGTATAAAGTGCTGTTATTATACTGTGCATACACTAAATAATGCAAAGCCCTTCTCAGCTAATTCAAATCGAAATACTCAAATAGTAATCAAATAGAGCAATGTTTCCTGATGCTACAGTGAGTTGTGTTTTGTTGACTTGCATTATATTGTCTAGCTTGTGCACGTTAAGTAGCATCTACGTAACAGTGTTAGAGACACCGTCACGCAGAAGTACTCACAGCCTGCATGTGAAATAGCCTATAAAAAATACTATGTTTCATGCCAAAATTTGCCTTTCAATCCATTTCCTTGTTGGGAGTTGTTCAGTAGTTTGGTGATAATCTAATCTTTTCTAGTGTTCAAGTGTTTTTTTGGACGTTTCAGAGGGCCGTGTCAGCATGGAAACACAACATGCTGGTGCAACAAGGATCCACATACCGCGAAGCAGTTCTGCTCAGGACGTGTTTCTACAAACCACATTTTGTTGTTTGAAAAAACGTACCAACAGCCAGAAAGAAGCACTACATAAAGAGATTACAACTTCAGCTCAGCAGTATGACATCTCTGCAACACGTCAAGCCGTGGTCACAAAGACGCTCATAACACAGCAAATACATATCTCTCTTCCAGTTATCAGATCCAAGCTGCAGTGAGGCGTGTCCAGCAGACATTTTATCATCGTCCGTCTGCTGCGTGTACATGGCTTTCTCCCACAACTCTTTCCCTCCTATTAAACATGACCATACTGCATCCTCAGAAATGCCCTATCATGTTTTCCCAAGGAGTCATTTCCTGTAGGAATAACACAGTTACGCAACTGTGATATCTTTATAACGAGCACCGTTCCACTACACAATTTTGGGCGAAGCGTTGAGAAATGATGACGAGACACAAGAACAACTTCACTTCGACTGAGCTAATTATAGTCCCTTCCTTATTGAACTGTATTTCTTTCCACGTCCGTTTCTTTGTAACCTAGCAACTAATTAATCACCTGATCCGTCTTCTCTGAATATATTTGTGTAAATAAAAGGATTATTTATGCCTGCAATACACTTCGTCATGGCACTCTTAAAATGTGGTGTGGATGAATGGGAGAATTGCGCGTCCTGCTGTGTCTCCGACCCAGGGGTGCCAGCGCTTCCCTCACAAAAGAAAACATACAACAGCACCTGTGAGAACTCTTTCTGGGGGCTTATTGAGAGGACGTTTCTTTTGTGCTTGACTCACACAGGCTTGGGCAGGAACTGTGAAACGCACTGACTGCTTTCATTTACCAAATTGGTATTTTCTTATCAAAAGAATGCAATTACAAACACCTCACATGGTTTACCTCTATTTCATGCCTATTTTTTAAGGGGAAAAAAAGCATTTGGAATAAACTCCATGTTAAATGAAATGCCTTTTATTCCATTAAATGTGTGGCCTTGGGGGCCAGGCGGCCTTTTAAAACCATTGACAGAGAGCAAGGCAGAATGAGGAGACGTACCTGGAAAAGCCGACAGAAAAGGTTGACAGGGCTGCAGCAGACGGGAGCCCTTCGTCCTCGCCCCTCTGCAACCCGGCTGTCTCTCCGAACCTGCTCCCCCGGGCCCAGCTCTCCCCCGCCAGAGGCAGGTTTGGGTACAGGGCGTAAGGCTCCTGGTCCGCCGGGCCTACAGCGGTGGACGGGCTGGCTCTGTAGTGGTAGCTAGATCCTACTCCCAAGCCCAGAGGCGAGGACATGGGGCCTCCCCCGTGGTGGGAGCTCATGCTGCTCTGGAGACACTGCGCCTGGCAGAAGCCAGCGCTGTCCTGCTTCTCCTGCTTGACCACACCGGGAGTACGGATGTGGATGAAGGAGTCGTCCGGATCCTTCTCTTCCTTGATCATGACGCTGGAGAGAAGTGAGGCGGGCTGCTGCTGCTGTAGTTGGAGCTGATGCTGCTGGTGCTGTAGCAGGTGGTGCCGATGGTGCACGGGGTGGTGATGCGGATCCGAGCCATTGCCGTTGGTAGAGTTCAATTCTTTGCCCGTGAGGGGCTTTGGCTCATTCAGCAAGCCGCTGACCGACCCGCCGCCGCCGCCGCCACCACCACCACCACCAGCCCCCCTGCTGTCATGGAGGATGTTATCCAAGTGGGCCACTTCTGAATCCAAATCAAAATCGCTGATTTCTGGCAGGGTATTGGGAAGGTCCAGGTCTTGCCAAATCTCCAAATCCTCGATTTGGCGACTGCCGTTGCCATCCAAATCACCGGAGCCGGGGCCTGTGTGCCCGCAGTAAGTTTCCAGGTCTTCATCTGGAGAAAAATTAGCCTCCTGCTTGATGTGCTGGGGGAAAAGGTCCGGCAGGGGGAGGTTGCCAAGGATGGAGGAGACCGAGGCGCTTATGACCGAGGCGGCCGTCTGCTCGAGATCGGAAATGCCGCGTTTCAGCGGCGGCCCGGTGCCATCCGCGTTGAATCGGACGATGCCCTGGTGCTGTTTCTGCATGCTAACGACTTTACCCTCCTCTGGGTCTGAGCCCTCAAACAGGACGCGATGCTGAGGCGAGTCAAAGAGGCCTCCGGGCTCCCCTCGGTTTTTGTTTCCACACCTCCCGTTTAGGCCCGCCGCCGGCTGGGGCAGAGGCCCTTGGCCTGGCCGGTCGGCCGCGGACTGGAGCGCTGGACCAGCTGTGTCACCTGCGGCCAGCGTCTCCCCAAATGTCAGGCTGTCGTCTCGATTACCGGTGCGCTTCAGTTCACCCTGATCCATTTCTTTGTCCTGATGGGACGGCGAGGGTGAGTCAAAAGAGTGCGCAAAGAGCACATGCACCCAGAGAGAGAGAGAGAGAGAGAGAGACAATGTCAGGCTGTTATAAAGAGTTGATGCTGAATAAGATGATACATACAGAGCGGCAAGATATCTTTATAAATACATACACACACACATAAGACTCTCACAGTTCACTGTGATATACATACATCTTTATTTATGTCGCGGCATTGCACTAATGGCCAGATATAATATTATACACTTTAATAGTAGCGTACACATACGCCTTTTTCTAATCATTTCTAATTATAATTTTTAACTAATGACAACAGTCTTGTTTATTAAATCCCCCCCACAATAGAGAAATGTGGCGGAAGCACAAAATGGGGACAAGAGCCATTACATAACATGACCATAATGCTGATGTTATTTCTTTGAACTGTGCCCTCGAATCATCTCATGCGTCCAGAAGTGCAAACAAGGCCCAGGCACCACTTGTGTAACAGCCAGTGACAATCCCGCATACAGACAAGCATGTGTGGAGCCACACACATCTGTCAGAGGAGATTAGCGCACTGGTCTCTGGGGCGTTTGCAACGGTCACCAATAACTGTCCATCTCCATTTGCAGAGGAGCGCAGATGAATGATTCAGTCAAAAGGGACATTTAAATACAATTAAATGAACGCAACGAGTGTGCAAAGAAAAAGCTCTCCGCGATGTTTATACTGCGGCGCCCTCGTTTTAATCGCATTAGTATCGTTAACCAGGCAAGCTGTCACCCATGCGGTGCATTTTCAAAGTTCACAAAAATCACAGAACGAGCCCGTACTTCCCTCAAGAGCATTCAGAACTTCTGCAAAGGACACACACATTTAAACACAAACACCACTTTGCAAGAACAACCGTTGCCTCGGATGGACGCATTGGCGAAAGGTAAACACGGCTGCACCATTTCCTGCTAGTTGGCGCTGCGTGTGTTGCGCTAAACAGCAGGTCGAAGGAGACGTGTCGACTCCGTAGCCTCAAGAGCGCATATACGACACATGGCGCTAAACGGGCTGCGGGTTTACGGCGCACAGCTGCCGCCCTGTGCAGACCGGAGGGTCATGTGCACACGAGGAGAGGCTCGTGAAAAACATTTTCCGTGCAAAACTTAAGAATAATTTGTTTTACGCATTTACCCGGAGTAGCATTATAAATCCTGCGTGTCCTTTTTTAACGCTTATAATGTCTTGTCACCGCTGCGCAATATTTCCTAATTGAGATTTCCGCTATATTGAAATTGTAAAGGAAGGTTTTTGATATTTATCAAATCCCTCCCCCGCCCACAAAAGTTTGGGCTTGTACAGACTTGCTGCACTGTACTTTTTCCCCCCCATCGAACGAGCACGACACATCATAACAGCGTTAGTGCAACCTGTTGGCTGCGACGGGAAATTGCACCGATCACATGCGCACAGCCGCAGATAAGCCGCCGTTTTTGTGCAAACCGCTTCTTTCCATCTTGCAAGAAAAAACAAACAAACCCGGTTGCTCCGAGCGCCTGGTGGGGGACGTGTCAGCGGGGTCGCGCACACTGCACGGTTGTCAGTGCGCCTACCACGCAGCACCGGGCGCGCTCTAGTCGGCCTACTTTGGGTAGGTAGGTGGGTGGGTGGAAGACAGACAGAATTTCCCCTCCCATGGTAATTCTCCCGCGACGGAACAAGTGGTCGCAGTACATAAGCAGGTCGTACCTGTGGCGAGAGGATGCGCCAACCAACACACACACACACCCCCGTTTAGGTCATCTCCAGTCGGTCCAAGTTGGAAAACATATGAGAAATGACGCGACGTCCACAAGCACGCACGCACGCACGCGCGCAGGCACACGCACACACTCGATTAAAACCGCGTCCTTGCAACAACGCTGCGCGGTGAAATGTCATCTGGGTGTGTGTCCACCGTGCTCTCCGCGCGACAGGAAAACATCCCCCGCAATAGCAACTGTTTAGAAAACAAACAACAACAAAAAAACTAAAGTCAACAGCGGCGCTGACCTAGCTGGCGCTGTCGAGGTCCACGGTGTGCGCCGTTCTGGCCGATCTGTCGATAACTTTTAACGCAAGTCACCGGTATGAGGGAGAAGGAGGGGAAAAAAAGAAGTCATCGATCGCTTACTCGCCTGCAATATCAGGATTATTCCGCAATGATTCCACGGATCTGCGCCGCGATATTCTGCTCTTGCGCCATTAAACCCGTGAGTACATCAAAGTTATATAATAGAGCCCCGCTGCCCTGGCGTACTCAACTGAAAACTCAGGCAGGGCAGGGCGGACAGTTAGCGAAACGCCGTCAAGCCGGAGGAGACGAGTCGAGCGCTTCCGTCTTGTTCTTTCAGAATAAAAGCCCCGTTGTCGCCGTCCTCGATGGGAGCGAAACGGTCAGTGTGTGAAAAAATGAGGCGGTCGGAGCACTTTTGGAGTGGAGGTTTTACCTTAGAGGTCGGTTTTGGCCCAGCAGACGGAAGCATTGCGTTTTGTTAATAATTTTTGCTTTTTAAAGCGAGCATTTTTTTGCTTTTATTCACAAGCAAAAATAGCCCCGTTTTCGGTCGCCGCCTCTCTGTGTGTGGCAGCTTGATGCAGCTGTTAGTTTGACACTTGGCTGTGAACGCCCCTTTCCCCACCGAGTCTCCCTGCTGAGGAATCTGTCAGAACGTGTCTCCGTAGGCCTTCGGTGCGACCACCTAAGTTACTCCACAACCCTTCATAGCTTTATAAAAAGGTTCAGAGCAAAGAACAAGGGAGGGGGGGGGGGGCTGTTTTTCCTCCAACTAGAGCAAGTAATCGCGGTTATGCTATAGACTCCGAGGTTTCATAAATCGCTTGATTGCTATCTCCTAAAACTTTGAAATGACTAACCAATACAGCTCCGCTTCTCAGAGATCTGCTACGTATTCCAATTGAATAGTTTTTCCCGAGAGGTCTTGATTTACCAAAGCGGTGGTTGAGAGCCACTTGAGAAGTTGCAAACGACTGCCGCCTCCAGAGACCCTTAAGCATGCGGGCATAACTCGCCTATTATGTGCTACGACGTTTTTTAGGCGCAGAATGCAAGATTAGCCGTGAACATCCTGTCAGGGAGAGAACAACGTCCAAACGGAACCAAGAGGAACACATTAATAACCACTCAGGGAAGATATTTCTCTGCTCTCAACCTTGTAGTTTTAAATGGGGAGCTCAAACTGGGCGCAGTGATTTCACCAGAGCACAGTGAGGGGTCAAAGGTCAGGTGGAGGGTAAGTAGCACGCCTGAAACTTAAAGCATGAACCTGATTTATAATCTCTTAAGCTAAAAGTCCCCCCCATACATCATGTGTAGGTCAATAGGTCCATCATTTTTTCAAACACATTTACATTGTCCAAAGGATTTATTGATAATCTAAACTGAACTCTCAAACGCTTTGAGTCATCTAACTTTAATTCAATTCAATTTATTTTATTTTGTATAGCCCAAAATAACAAATTATAAATTTGCCTCAGAGGGTTTTATAGTCTGTACACATGAAACATCGTCTGTCCCGAAACCCTCACATCGGCACTGGGATAATCAACTAATTGTTTCAGAACTACAGAATACAAAGAACAAATCACAATATTGGAAATATAAGAGGCAAAGAGAGGCACCCTGAATGATGTGACTTTGCAGCTTCCGTTATAATCTTTTAGTCCCAATCCCTTTAATGCATTTAAAGGACCTCCTGGAGTCCAACGTGAACTGACTGGTGACCTATTAGTGAAATGAAGTCTTTGTATAGTAGCAGTCTTAGTATTTTATTTCTGTTGGTCACAAGACAAGGACATTCTTTTTTTTTATGACGGCAGAGTGGACCAGAACAAGCAGGCAATCGTGTTCATGTGTTCTGCAGAGTCAACCTGGGGTGAAGAAGAAGAAGATGGAGAGGAAGGGACGTGGACAGTCCACACTGTGCAGACCGGCCCAGACGCCCCATGTTGTTACATCTTCCAGAAAAGAAACAAAGATGGGTAGTTGCAAACCAACAGGCCAGAAAAAGAAAGAAGGAAATGGGGGAGGTAAGGTGGGTGGGAGGGGGCGCCGGGGGGGGGGGTAGGTGTGGCCCTCCATGCAAGTCATTCGATTAGAAGGAGCCGAGTGTGTCCTGTGCATGTGGATGTCTCATTAGGAGCCAGCGTGGCCGGAGAGAGGCAGGAGCTCCCCAGGGCCCGAGTAAACCACACTGTTCTCAAAACATCACAAGGAACACTGTGAGTTTTTAATGCCGGGTACCAATGGCTGATACTATTAACCGATAACCGATAAAAACACTGGACGCGTGGTGCTTCACGTGCGCGTATGTGCAACTGAGAAATCACGGGGAGGTTGTGTTACGCGGGTTGTGTGATACAATGTGCTCTGTGTGCATCCTGGGTTACACTCGCAAGGTTTGAATGTGTTGCCGCAGAGAAAACCTCATGTGAATATTCATTAATGCTCGCTCACATGTGCTGGTGACTAATAGAGGCCAAAGTTTGGGTTTCAAATGTTCCGGGTATAACACTGACCTTTTGGTCCCGAGCAGAGGCAGGTGGCCTACATGTTGTGTATGCACACACACACACACACACAGACGCACACAGTTAGCTGTCCACTTGCTTTTATAAGAACCTGAGTGAATTACAGGTACAGGTAAAGGTCAGCTTGTATCCCATTGGTTTCTATCACGTTGTGTGAAGGTTGCATCCATTTGGTTGTATTTGCTGGGCTTTTTGTATTTATCTTTCAGAGATTTCTGCCATCACCCAAATATAACGCTGGTGAAACACACACAGGAGATGAGCATCGCACCGGCTCCCTCCACAAAACCTCAATGGGATTTTTACGTTGGATTGTAGTAATGCATAAAAAACACACACATTGTGTTTTTCCCGTCAGGGATTGCTACATCATCAGGATATAAAACCTTTGGAAATTAGATATCAGCCAGATATGAGACATTTGATTTGTTTTCACAGGCCTATATGTAGGACGGGTTCCAAAAGCATTATTGAACATGCTCTGGGCCTAAATTGTTGGCACGCTAGAATTGGTAAGCAACGTTCTTGTGGTACGTTTTAGTGTAATTTATTGTCACACTGCAACGGCACTCAGCTCTCTTTGTCACACACACACACACACACACGCGCACGCACACACACACACACACACAGGTCATCGGCCATGACGATAACAGGAGGCATGACAATAAACAACAAATACTTTGTGTGCTGTTTGAACCCAGCCTGCTGCAGGCCTCTGCAGGGCATCGTATTATCAATACAATCCAAACAGGAACATGTCCAAACTCTCTGAGCTTTTACTTTGACGTCAATGAAGGTAATGGATGGAAACGTATTTGTTTTACTTCCCCCTGCTACCAAAGTCTCTAACACCGCCATTTACCAAACTGTCCAATGAGCAAGCTCCTTTTTCCTGCATTAGTATTACATACAACATTATATCTGTCATTATGAGTAATTGTTGTGAAGAAAGTCTGCACAGTTCATGGTTGATCACCAATAATATCATCTTCAGTGTCGGTTCTCATTACATTTAGTCATTTCATCACATCCTTTGTTATTCTTAGTGCACAAATCCACTTCATTGTCAATTTGCTTGCCTTTACACAATAGATAACAGTGGTTGATTTTGCAGAAGTTGTGGTAAATGTCCAAAACCATATTAAATAACAAGTGTCTGTAAGACAGATCTGTAAACAACAGATGTCCAAAAGAAAATCAACCAAATCAAATATTAGTATGTTTCTCACCCCCTTCGCTGTATCACATTAGACCCGTCACACTCTTCCCCCCCAGAGGGGATTAGTGATATTCAAACCGGAGGACTTAACTAACACAATTGTTGTTGTTATGTCAGACAATGAGGACAAAGCAAAACGAGGAAGGAAGAATTTATGTTGAGAAGGAAGTACAGACAGGAAACGAAGGAGCTCCTTCTCAAAGTGAACAGGCAGTTCACACCCTTCACAATTTTTTTGAACAAAACAATGAGAAAGAATGAAAATCACGCAGTGAGGAAGGATTTCTAGACAGACTACAAGCAGGGAGCAGAATCTCCCAACTGTCCCAACAAAGTGAAGGTGTCGAGGTGTCATCCGAGGCAAATATAATCACGGCTTACTGAGAACGGATCCGTGCACTGAGCCGTTATCTCAACGGACCACATGTTTCATAAAATAATAGCATGTGGATGGAAACATTCACCAAAGCTTTAAAGTACCATAGAAGATAAAAGAGATGTATGTTCTTCCAATACACAAGTGTGTCATTTGTGTAAACCATTCTAAAAGTGTCTGATTGTGTATTTCTTTCTTATTAGAGCTCATGCTAAGTATCTTTATTCAGACATGGCTGCAGTCTGAATGGCACTTGGAACATTTTTCTGCCTTGCTGTACATAATAAAGTGTATTCACGCTTATGTAAGTTCTAACAATGAGCGTCAAATCTATTTTAAGTATAGTCAAAGTGAAGTTACTCCAAATAGTTAAACGACAATATATTATTGTTTGCAACTGTCAGAAATCCAAAATAAGTTTCCATGCAAATCCACAACCATAACCTTTTAATACATTTAATATATAATGTGTGTTTGAGGCAAAAACACATTCTTTTAAAAGCTTGTTGACCGTCAGCTTCAAAAATATCACACGCAAAAACCACCATCATGTCTGATATCGCGATGTTCCGATGTGCAAAAGCTTGACTCCCCACATTAAAAGCAAGGCCAAAAGATTCTGATAATTATCAGGATCTGCTCCTCAAACAGGGGCCGAGGCATGAACCCAACTCGAACTGACCACATTGACCTTTGGATTGGACAGCTGATGAGGCAATAGGATCTATCAGCTGCTAAAGTGGGGTTTAGAAGAGATCAGCCTTTCAAACAAAGTTTAGCTGACGCAAAGTGTCTGCAGACCGGACGCCGTCACAAGTGGTTTTGCTTCTCCTGCTCTAAAACTCATCGGCTCTTCGTGATTCTCCTCGAGGGAAATCGTCACGTAGGATGTTTGTACATGACTGATTTTGTTACTTCTGTGTGAAACAATCCAACCAACGTGGTGTCAGAGCAGAAACTCTATTGATTCAACAGCGTCTTCATGAACATGAGCAATCGGATTCAATTCGCTGGCGGTGTAACTTTTAATCTGACATTCAATACAGCCATGGACAGAGGAAGTGCTTCAGAAGGAAGGACGGAGAGGCAGGTGTCCCTCTCAGGGTTCTCTGTCACGTCTGTGTACCGATGCCAGCGACC